CCATTTTGGAGGCCCCCATTGGATTGGCCCAGCCAGGGGCGGTGGACATGTGCAGGTCTCGGTGCCCAAAGTCGGGCCGGACGCAAGGGGGAGGATTGGGAAAGGGTGGGTCACGAAATTTGCTGCATGCAGCCGGTTCTGGCCCCACCGAGGGGCCCATTCCTCGATACATGGCCGCCTCCCGGCGCCGGGAGGCGCCGGGAAAATCGGCCACGTGAGCCGATTCTCAAACCCCCCCTGTGCTATCCCCCCCCCCCTCCTCCTCCTCCTCCCTCCTCCTCCTCCTCCTTCTATCCTCCTCCTCCTCCTCCTCCTCATCCTCCTCCTCCTCCCTCCTCCTCCTCCTCCTCCTCCTCCTCTCTCCTCCTCTTCCTCCTCCCCCCCCCTCTCCTCCTCCTCCTCCTCCCCCTCCTCCTCCTTCTCCTCCTCCTCCTCCTCCTCCTCCGCCTCCCTCCTCCTCCTCCTCCTCCTCCTCCTCCTCCTCCTCCTCCTCCTCCTCCTCTCCTCCTCACCTCCTCCTCCTCCTCCTAACTCCTCCTCCTCTCCCCCTCCTCCTCCCCTCCTCCTCCCCGCCTCCTCTCCTCCTCCTCCTCCGCCTCCTCCTCTCCTCCTCCTCCTCCTCCTCCTCCTCCTCCTCCTCCCCTCCTCCTCCTCCTCCTCCTCCTCCTCCTCCTCCTCCTCCTCCTCCTCCTGTCGCCCGACCCGACCAAGGGTGGGCCTCTGGAGGCCGCCCTGCGCGCCCCGGGGCGGCCAGGGAGAGCAGCCCCGGGGGCGCGAGGGGGGGTGCAGTGCGGCGGGCGGCGAGGGCTCCCGAGCCCCGCGCTGAGGCGTCTGCAGGAACCGAGGCCTACGTTGCAGGGGCAGCGATGGGGGTGGGGGGGTGGGGGGGAAGGCGTAGGGTGAATGCATAGGGGAGGGGGTTAGGCGTAGGCGTAGGGGGGGGAGGTAGGCGTTAAGGGGGGGGGGGGTAGGCGTAAGGGGGGGGGGGGGGGTAGGCGTAGGCGTAGGGGTAGCCCCGCGCTGAGGCGTCTGTTCTGCACGAACGAGATGGGCACGGGAAGAATGGGTACAATGCCCAACAGCAGATCCTGTTCATTTTGAACAGGACTCGCTGTCCGCGCCGCCGCGGCCTGTGTCCATTCGAGACAGAGGGCCGCCTGCCCAACAGCGGCCGCTGTTGGTTTGGGACAACATTAGTTGCCGAGCATTGTACCCATTATTTCTGTGCCCATTTCGGGCGTCCAAATTTGCAGGAACCGAGGTTTACGTTGCAGGGGCAGCGATAGGGGGGGGGGGGTTGGCGTAGGGGTGAATGCATCGACCCTATCGTTGCAGGGGCAACGATAGGGGGTGAATGCATCGTACTGAAGGACCACATCCCAGAAATGAGTTCAAGCACCAAGATCAGGGGCAACGATAGGGGGGGGGGGCAGGCGTAGGGGGGGATGCATCGCCCCCAATCGCCCATTGATCGCCGATAGTGGCCCGATAGCCCCAACCTGCCCTGGAAGGTGCGGATTCCATATCGGGGACCTATCGCCGATCTATCGGCGATGTATCGCCGATAGATCGTACTTAGGGCTTACCGCCGATAGATCGTACTCGGGCCTATCGCCGATGTATCACCGAGGCTTACGTTGCTTCCATCGCACTGAAGGACCGCACTCGGAACCTAAGAGACGGAAGAGACGGGGGTCAGTACAAACGGGGGTCAGCCAGGGCACCGGATCTTGCAGGATCCTGCGAAGACCCCTTCTGGCTGACCAGGATTAGCGAGCCGCTCGTGGCCGCGAGGCGGCCGCGCAGATTGGCTGACCCGGGTTTGCGAAGGCCTGCGTTGCAGTTTTTCTTGCATTGCAGTTTTTCGGTTTCCTACTAACCCGGGTCTGGATTGACCCGGGTCAGAAGATCCCCGACATCCCAGAAATAAGTTCAAGCACCCAGAGCAGTATCGAAGCAGTGGCTGCCCGACGCGCTAGCGGTGTGTCGAACGGGTGTCGCCTCCCAGGGCCCGACACGTGAAAACCTTGCAGTGTCGGTGCTTTTTTGGTGTTCGATTTGTATGTCTGGCGATCAAAGCTAAAGCAGGTTGGAACATCATATGCCGAGGCGTCGTCACGTCGCAGGCCAGCGGAGGACGAGCTCCGATTCGAAACTCCAGAACAATGCATACACATGCGCTTCGATTCGAAGGAGGCGGAAGACAAATCTGGCGATGAGCCTAAAATCGCGGATAGCACGGCACGTCAAGCATTGGCATGATGGTACATAAAATTTGCATGTTGTTTCATCAAGAACTGGCATGATGCGCGCGCAGATGTTTCTGAGATCCGCGCGGATGCCTTGGATCTGCGTGGGGCTCTCCTGGGGGCGCCTCCAGCGCCTTCCATGGAGCGATCCGCGCACAAGGGAGAAGGTTTCAAATCCCAGAGATCTGTTTGAGTTTCCGAAAGTGCATGTCTATGCCGTTGTTGGCGATCGCTCCTCCTCCCTCCTTTTCTTCAATTTTAACATTGCTCCCTCCCGATCGTTCCTCCTCCCCTCTCCTCGTACAGTCGGGGCGCTGAAGAAGGAACCCTTCTCGTTGGGGAGGGGCTCGATGTTCCTTAAGTGTTCCACGCCTTGCCTAAGGTTTCCCTTCTGTTTTCGATGGGAAGTCGAACTTCAACTTATGAAAAAAGGGGCCTCGTTCCTTATTTAGGGTTCCTTAGGTCAACGCCTCGACTGTACCCTTCTTTCTCATCCCTCCTCCTCCTGATCCTTCTCCCCAGGGGCTCAGGAGGCTGCCTGACTGCACTGGGGCCATGCACTAGCAGCAGTACAGCCAGGCCGCCAGAGAATCGAGACGACTCTGGCCTCAGGAGGGGCTCCAGGCCTCAGGTCGGGGAACGTTCTCTTAAGTCGGGCCTCTGTCCCCCTACAGGGGGATTTTCGGCGAAACATTTTAAACAAATACCCCTAAAATATTCCAAACATACTCTGGAGACTATTTTTTGAGTATGTTTGTTGCCTTTGGGGGGCATTTCTGTGGTATTTTTGATTTTTCGTCGAAGATTCCCCTGCAGGGGGACAGGCCCGACCTAAACGTACTCGCGGCCGAGCTCGCCGCGGCTAGACAAAATCCCTGCGCTCGTTCGACCTCAGTTGAGCAGACCTGGGCACGGCCCGCGTAAATTCGGCCCCGGGGTCTGTATGCGTCGGCCCTGCCAGAGCCGATCCGATTGCTTTGCTGCTGTTCCCTGGTTTCCGTGGTGCGCGACCACAGCGCATCCAGTTTCTGCCCGACGTTTTTGGACTTGGTGCCAGCTGCGGTGCGATGGCCCGCGGCATCCTCATGGAGGTGGAGGAGGAGGAGGAGGGCAACCGCCATCGCATACCCAGATTACAAGGTTGATGTTGCATTACGTCCCCCTATCCTCAGCTCCCCACGTTTCCAGTTCTCGGACTCCCCGACCATCCCGATTTTCGCAGGGAGTTATGCGAGTATGTCGGTTGCGAGGCTAGTGGTTGTGGCTCTCGGATCGCCAGGGTGGCAGGGATGAACATAATGAAGAAAATTGCGCGTCCGTAAGCACATGAGCAATGGCCCGAGCGTGCGATAGACACTGTTCTTGCGCACTGCTGCTATCCAACCTGCGGCTGGAGACGTGCCCGAATTTGAGACGATACGAATACATTCCATCTGTAAAGCTGCAGTGATAACCCGATTATATAGCGGTGCCAACGGCGTGGAATGACGAACGTAAAAATCATTCCTTCGCAAGATGGAGCGCCCGTTGGAACGATAAAGGACATATGGCCCTACCAGTGGGTCAAGTGCTGGCCGCGTCACGGGAAGTGACCTGAGGATAGTGGATTACGGGATATTTCGACGAGTCACATTTGACATCACGAATACGAAGCATCATCAAAAAATTGTGGTTCGGCCACCGAATGCGTTGAATGGAAATCGCGTTCCGCTAATCTTTTTCGAGGGGTGACAGCGGGCGCCCAGGCGAGATGTTGCAAATGTGTCACTATCCATCCGTGAGAATCTTTGGGCAAGTTCAGCATTTAGAATATCAGGCGTGAGGGCGCTCAAGCCGAAACAGCGATGATAAAGATATGTTGCCCTTGATATGTGTAACTCTTGGACCCATTTTGACTGCTAGGGGCCAAGAATCGCCATCAGTACGAGCATGTTGTGCACAGTTCGATGTTGACAACGTACATCTTCCTACCAGTGTAGCTATGGGGGGGTATGGTGTCTAGGCAGTATTGCAAGGATGCGCGATGAGGAGCTACTTCAAAGGAAGAGAGGTATAGGAGGAGGAGGAGGAGGAGGAGGAGGAGGAGGAGCATCAGCAGCAGTGGCAGCGAGAGGCGGAGGATGAGCAGGCGGAGGATGAGGCGTGTGGCAGAGGAAGTAGCAGCAGCTGGCCGCATTGCGCACTTCAGTCGAAATCGTCGAGCTCTCCCTTTGTGGCTTGTCATTGACGGTGCTTGACAGTTCTCGAACCTCTCTTCGTACAGCGTTGAAGGCCGCGTGTTTGTCCCTGCTGTCACCTCGGCTCACGCCATTCTCTTACCTGCCCGTTGACCACCCTTACAACGGGTCGACTTGTTTTTCTTTGTCTCTCTATCTCGTTCATTCTCTCTCTCTCTCTCGCATCGTTCTTCCCACGCACGAGCACCACACCACAGCACGCACCACAGCACGACAAGCAAAACGGACGACGGACATGGAGAGACACCGAGAGTGCGAGTGATATGTGTATATAAATATAAACGTATATATATATATGTATATCAATATGTGTCGATGTATACACACATATGCACATGCGGAGAGCACGTAAACACAGGTGTACGAGGAAGACATCTATGTATACGTATATGTGTATAACACTTGGGGGGAGAAAGAGACAGGGAGAGGAGAGGGAAAGAGAAGGAGAGAGAGAGAGAGAGAGAGAGAGAGAAAGAGAGAGAGAGAGAGAAACCATTGCCCCGTGGGCCGCCAG